GCTGCTGACTGTAACCCAGAGCATCCGCCTGCATGCCAGTGTAGCCACCTGTGTGACCCCAGCCGTAGCTGTCCATCCGCGGGCTTCCAGCTGATCCTTGAGCCGCGGCTGCTGCCAGTAAGTTGCCGGCTGATAGGGGATACTTTGCAGCCGGGTTGTCCTTCTTCAGCACGGGTTTCGTTTTACGACGGGGTTTGTATTTATAATCTGGGTATTCCTTCATGTGCAGCGCGCGAAGCCGCTTGGCCTCGTCAATAAACGGCCGTTTCTCCGCGTCCGTCAGCAGCTTCCACTCGGCTCCCAGGCGCTTGCTGATCTCAGAGTTGTGCATTTTGGGGTTCTCCTGTGCCATTTTGCGCCTCTGACCCCGAGACCAGACCATAAACGCGTTCATGGGCCTCTTAACCTTGTCCATAGGATCGCTACCCTGTTGTTGTTGGTTGTTGACAACCGGTTTGGCGATTCCGTGAGTCACTCCACCGTTCAGCTGGGTCATTCCCTGCGCGCTCTGGTGAGTCTGTGGCACGGCGGACTTCATGTCGTGTTCCAGCATGCTGTACATGGCTGACCACAGAGGTTAGTGGTGATACTGAAGTATCACCGTAAACTACTAAATAATTTAAACTTAAATCCACTGACTTTAAGTGTCCACGAAGCTAAACGTTTACGCGTTACGTTTTGGACACATAAGTCCAAAAGACGAGAGCGAACTGATTGTAACTATAGCCAGAAGTGTTTGTAAACGCCTAAAGACTGTCAACAAGTTCTGAGGTGACGCTAGTTTGCCTTAAAAGCGAAACATGTCCGAGCTGAACTCACTGTGCGTCCTGCCTGCGACTCTTTCAGTGCTTGAGTGATAATAGAATTTCATCACTGTCCGCCTCCAGCTGCTTTCTTTCTCTCCACATTAGCATCACTAAAGAAGGGGTGCGGTGAATGTGGAGAGGCCAACAGCAGGAGGAGGATTCAGTTTTGGGGAGAAGAGTTTCTGTCTTCACCTGCAACTCTTTAAACGGATTTTACAATATAGTACTTTGTTTTATAGTGGCCATAGTTATTTCGCCATTAGACATCAAGTGCATGTAGTTTATTAGTATAAGTTGTAGCTACTTCTGAAAATACACAATTAAATGTACTATGTATTTGTCTTTATCCAAAGCTGTGATGAACACCAGTGTGTTATGAATAGCTCATACGCATTCTTTTTTCAGTCTCTCTCTTTATTTATTTGTATTTTTTTAACTTCTGACCAAAACAAAATAATTTATTTATACTTAGACACTTGTTACCTGTTGAAAAGGCAACTTTTGGACAGTCATTTTTATTTTGCACGAAATTAATGCCTTTTCTTTATTTTTAATAGGTGATTTTTAAAGGAAGTTTCATTTAAATATAAGACAAACTGTCTTTAAATGTTGCATTATGCCATATAAAGCTAAATTTAATCGTTTTATATATGACGGATTATACCGCTTTTGAAAAAAATAAATTAAAAAAAGTAACAGGATTGACAATTTTAGCGTTGTGCTGAAGGTCATGACACTACAGTGTGCTTTTTTTTTTTTAGTTACATTGTCTTATTTAAGATTGTCCCCTACTGACAAACCTCACGAAATATAACAAAACAGTGATTACAAACATGCTGGAGACATTTACTTATATTTGAAGAATTCACATTCTGAAAGGATGATGTTGTCATCATCAAGTTTTTTATTAGTGGAACTCTACATAATTTTTATAAGTGGAGTTATGGTGATAACAGAGATGATACATAACCTAAGGACACATTAATAAAACGTTTTAATGAGATTTGTTCACTACAATCTCACATCTTTCTCTCTGTCTGTATATACACTACTGGTCAAAAGTTCAGAATAATTATGTTTTGTTTATGCTTTAGAAAGAAGTCTCTTATGCTCTCCATGGCTGCATTTATTTAATCAGAATACAGTAAAAACAATAACATTGTGAGATATTATTACAATAAAAAAAAAAACTTCTAAAATGTAATTTATTCCTGTGATGGCAAAGCTGAATTTTCAGCAGCCATTACCCAAGTCTTCAGTGTCACAATGACTTCAGAAGTCATTCTAATATGCTAATTAAATGCTAATTTTGAAGAGAAGAAGAGAAAAACAGCATGCAAAGAAATTTTGGAAATGCAGTGCTGGCATTCAAATGATTAAAGAAGATGAAAATAAAATAGAAAAAAAATTTGTTGATGCATTAAGAAAACCTTTAGTGATAATATTTATAATAATGCCCATTATAATTATAGAGTTTTCTTAAAAGGTTTGTTACAATTATACACTGCCCCTTTAAAAACTTGGACCTGAACACTTGGAATAAAACCAGTGGTTTTAGATGTTATCCCACGAAGAACATTTTCAGGTTCCAGTTTAAAAAAAAACAACACTTTTTATTTGTATTGTTGAAAACTTTATGGATATTTTTTCCAACTTTTTTCTCTTTTAGCGATCTTCCATGATGCCACTGAACTCAGATGTCTTCTACCCCAGTGAGTCGTCTTCTCTAATGACCGCAGGTGTGAGTAGTTACTCCTTATCACCCAACCATCCATACACATTAGTTTCTATAGGCATCACTTCACACTTCTATTGTGAGCTCTGCACCCCCAAACACAGCCACTACGACTGACCATCAGTAAGAAGTGTGACAATGAACTCCCCCCCTCTGAGTTTAGCTTGTTCTAACACATCATCTGAATGTTCCTATAAGACCTACAAAAAAGCTGTTATAAAAATGACTTCATTAGGTCATTATAATTGCTTGCAAAAGTTACCAGTTTACTATTAATCTCCAATACACTCTTAAAAATAAAAGGTTCTTTATTGGCATCTAGGGTTCCACAAAGAAACTTTAACATCCTTTCAAATGCACAAAATGTTCTTTATAGTGGAACAAGGTTCTTTAGATTATAAATATTCTTTTAAGAGTTGTTCTTTAGGGAATCAAAAAGGATTGTTCTATGGCATCACTGCAAAACCCTATTTTGCAATCTTTATTTTAAGGGTGGAGATGGCATTACATTTTCATCAGTGAACAAATGCATCCAATTTTCAGCATTCTAAGTATAGGATAACAAGGAGGAGTTGCTCTACTCCATTCTCCTCTTTTTTTGTTTTAGTTTGTCCCATCTAATCGTTGGCAACGTGTGTAATAATTGTTCACTGAAAGGTTCTTTGGGGAACCCAAAATGTTTCTTCTATTGCATCTGTGAAAGCCCAATTTTGGATTTGGCATTATATTTTCATCAGTGAACAAATTCATCAGATCCTCAGCACTCCAAGAACAGGAGAAAGAGTTTCCATATTCTATTCTCCTCTCCTTTGTTTTAGTTACTCCAGTCTAATCATTGACAACACACTCTTAAAAATAAACGTTCTTCATTGGCATTGATGGTTCCATGGTTCCACCTTTAACATCCATGGAAACTTTCCATTGGACAAAGAAATTATTTATGGTGAAAAAAGTGTAGTGTAACAAAGTATAGCTCTGTAGATTTTTAAAATTTTCTTTATACTAAGAAAATTAGTTATTTTAAGAACTGTTCACTGAAAGTTTTTTGGGGGGAGGTGGCAAAATGATTCTTCTATGACATTCATGCGAAAACCTTATTTTGGGACATTTATTTTTCAGAGTGCATGTGTAATGGGGGCTGAAAGTGATTCTGCTAATGAAGTCTGAACATAAAATATGAGTCTGAATAATAATTTGCTAGATGTGCTCCACAAGTGCCATTGTAGGAAAATTTTGAGGATACTGAAAGAATATGATAAACGTGTGGCATAAAACGTGTTGATTTTAACCATAGTAGCCATGAATTGTCTCTGTGTTAAGACAGTAGCTTGTAAAACCAGAATCTTCTATTGGATTAGTATGTTTTCTCTGACTTTGTGACATGTTGAGTGAATGAAACCTGAAGTGACTGAGCCCATTTTACCACACCAAAATTCCATAGAAGAGCAACAAGTGATTTTACCTCAAACCAGAGCAGAAACGTAAAAAAATCTCACGCTTGACATGTGAGCAGCAGTTTTCTACTGGCTGACGGCCTGATGCTGCAAAACCCCACTGTACGGCGTCAATATTGACTTGAGCCATTGTTGCAGGTCATTGTCACACACTTATTATACAATTAACCTTACTTTATGTGGAGGCTGAATATGGAGTGTGCCGGAGCTATTGTCCTTGAGTCATTCTCATGTAAACTGCAACACGGCCATTGGGGATGGTAAGGTGCCATGGAATAGCGATGGGGATGAAGGTGATGAAGAGGAGAGAGCAAAATAGGTTCAATTAAAAGTTCATGGCTGATTTGAAAAGCAGTACGCTTCATAATTACTAGCAAACTCTTCCTGTGAGCCAGAAGCCATTTTTTAGTTAATTTGCAACAAACATCTCATTTATGCCTTCACGCATATGCATATACTGCATGTTGATTACTTGTCTGGTGAAAGGCAACACAAAACACTTCCCTTTGTTTTGACTTTGACCAAATTGTTATAGAACAGATTTGTTAAATTTATAACAAATTCAGTGTTTGCAGTGAGGAACTCTGAATTTCTAATAGTTTCGGATTGAATTTCTATTGATCCTTATATTTTGAAACCAGATGATTTTAAGCTCTGGTCTTTCTATCTTCTGCAATTTGTTTGTTCTTGAATACTAAAATTCAGATTAGCTGTGTGGAGCCTCCCTCCAGTGTTGAACAATGGCATTACAGTATCTTTTTTGTACACTTATTTATTAGGTGATATATAAGAGCAATATTGAGTGAATAAAAAGTTTACATGCAGTACAAGGTCATGGCAGATTCTGATTGTAAATTCATGAACAAATGTTCATGAAGTTTCCTAAAAATAAATAAATAAAAATAATGTTAACCTTTTAATTTAATTTAACCTGAAATCCTTTTAATGGCAAATTATTTAACAGAATAACTAAAGATAAAATATATATGTATATATTCAGGGGTTTGTTAAAAATATGAATGTAAAGTAAACGCATACTAAGGTTTAACTTGTACAGATTCCAATGTAAAGTCATTGCACTAGCACCCCAAAAATGTGAAAAACTCAATATTTCTGTGAACATCCAACTAACATTTAGTCATTTTAACAACTGGAACCTTCAAAAAATGACAATGAACATAACCAAAAGGAAAAGAAAAAGGAAACATTTTGACGAGTTAGGCTGTAGCTTTATTGAAATTTCCCCCTCCTCCAAAAAACTAAATACACTTACAAAATAATTTAAATGTATTAAAAAGAAGAAGAAAAAAAAGTTTCAATATTTCTTATCCATCACATTTTTGTACCACCTTCAGTCAAAATTAATCTGCGTAAGGACTTCCAAATATCTAAATTCAGGAAGCCCACAATACTCAGACATCTTACATCATATACCGTTCAAGGGTGATTAAATAGCTCTGGTACAGTTTTATAGAAAACAGTACAGCAAGTACAGTAACTACTTCGATTTTACAGTCCGAGTAGTTAGATCCAAAGAATGAATCAAATCCAATGCTATTCATGTTGGTTTAAAAGCTAGCAATTTTACCACATGGCTGAAGTACATTAGCAGCATGAGGTGTGCTTTCTGGTGTTGTGTCGACAATCAAATCAAAATTTAAGTGGGGGCCTCGCGAGAGAGTCGGAGAGTCCAGAGAAAGCCTGAAAGAAGCCAAACATCATACATGCGAGAGACGAAGTACATTAGCAGCATGAGGTGTGCTTTAAAGAAACGTCAATGCACAGAAGCTGGAAACCAGTAACTGTAGTCCAATTATCCATCCAAAAAGTCTGATGATTCCCAGCAAAAAAAAAAAATGAGCCCAGGATAATTACTTGAGAGTAGAGTGACAAATCATGCTACTCTTCTCCATAAGAGAAGATGACTTGAGCCCATATTTCAAATGTTTTTTATGAAAGTTGATGGAGATAAAGTCATGTACATTCAGCATCTGAGATTATAAAATTTGATCAGTTTTGGGAAGATGAAATGACTAATTTGCATTTGTGGAAGAGCAGGGAGTTGCACGTTCCCTACTCCATTCAGAAGTGCTTAAACTGGAAAATAAAGCGAGAGAGATTGTGAAGATAGAGAGAGGGGGGTGTCTCTAGATCAGCTCAAATAAATCTCTAGATCAAGTCAGCCACATTCATGGGCATCTCTTCTACGGTAGTGTTGTAGAAGGTCTCGATGTCCCGCAGAGTACGCTTGTCATCTTCTGTCACCATGTTGATGGCTACACCCTTCCTGCCAAAACGGCCTCCTCTACCAATCCTAAGTATCACAGAAGAACAAAACATTGTAAATGGAAATGATAAAATAGCATTGGATATAATTCATTAGCTTAGGTCAAGCTCAAGGTTAGACTGATGTACCAGTCACAAACCTATGAATGTAATTCTCGCGGTTGGTTGGCAAGTCATAGTTGATCACCAAAGACACCTGCTGGACATCAATACCTCTGGCCTATGAATGAGATAATCAATTTATTTTTATTCCCAGTGTTTTTCAATTCCAATATCAAAGTTCACTTACTATCACTGGCAATTGCTAGCATTTATATTTAACATATAAATATTTTTTTTGTAGTGTGTAGTTTGATAAAGCTATGGGGAAGGAAAGAATGAGCCATCCATAACAGGATACACACTATTTTTTATACCAGATACTATAATTACCCTTAAGCACTAGAGGGTGCTAAGGAGTCAGGGAAGTCTGGCAACCTCATCTGCTATATGAACCCGATTTGAATGGAATTCATTCCATTAGGAGAAAAAAATTAAGCAAGAAACATGCACTGATGTATTTGCTCACCAGCAAATCTGTGGTAATAAGGACACGGCTAGAACCAGAGCGAAACTCCCTCATAATCAGGTCACGATCCTTTTGATCCATGTCTCCATGCTGACAAATATAACACAGTGTGTGATTACCACACACCACACTATGTAATACATTATTCACATTTCCAGTTAAGCTATTCATTACACTTGCAAAGACAGAAAATTTTATATATGAGCACATATCATACCATCAGTATGTAGAATGAATGCTAAAATGACTCAATGCAAATGGTTAAATAAATAAATGAATACAAAATTATTTAAACTGGCCATACAAGAACCTAAAGCTTCATTTCTAACCATACAGCTACTTTAAATTACAGGTCAACAATGGGACTGCTTTAGCAATTGCAGGGGTTAAAGCAAAAAAAAAAATCCTAAGCCTGAACTTTTTTCTGGGAGATGGGGCAGCACATGCAAAGCATGCAATGGCTGTAGCAACTTTAAAGGGGTCATATGATGCTGCTAAAAAGAACATTATTTTGTGTATTTGGTGTAATGAAATGTGTTTATGCGGTTTAAAGTTGTGACAATACACTTAGCTCACGAGATGAGACAAAATACAGATACCTGGTTCACTAGAACGAGACAATATTTTAATACATAACTGGCTCAAATAAAATATCAAAACCAAGTACATTACATGGTTTTATTGAACAACACTGTTAAAATACACAATGTATGCCTATGCACAATATGAACATAACCAACTTAAGTACATTATGTATTATAACAAATACCTGCAGAGGGCACCAACGGCCTGGTGATGTTTAATTTTACAGCATGATTAAACAATATTTAAATCCATTAAATTTTAATATTTGGCCACATGCAAACTCAGAAATGTTTATTTTGAAACTGCAATGAACAATAAATGGCATATTTCGAAATAGGTTGATGTATTCTCCTGTGTTGGCAAAGGTTTATAGATGATTTACGTTACAAATCTAGTGAGATAATGCACACTGTATTCCCAGATGAATGTTAAGCAATTCAAATTCACGGCATATGCAGAGGAAGAGTTTAGCCCCTTTCACACATACAGTCTTTACTGGTAAATTACCGGTAAGTTACCATTAAGAGATCATGTGTGAACAGGATCTTTTCAAAAGTCCCGGTAAATTTGTTCTGGCAATCATATCGTTCTTATGGAGATGACATGATTACTCTGAACGGTTCACAAAGCTCCGCTGCTTTTTAATTCTTTTTTCTATGCAAATATGCGCTAGATGGACATCTTTGATCTTTGCGCCTCGCAGCTTTTTTTAACGTGTCACGCTTCTCCATTCATCAGGGCTGCGACTCTGCTTTGGATACTATTATGCGCGTCTCGTGTTTATAAGAGCAAAAAATGCTGATTGGCTAGTAATGTTAGTTTGGTTGAGAGTGAAAGCTGTGCTCCTCTCGTACCATTGGTAGGCGAACTCATGGACTCGAAAGTGACATCAACACGATTTTTTTTAAGTGTAGGATTATTTTTTTCCGCAGCCAAACGCTTGCTGGAGATCTGGCACGATGCCGGAGAACTTTAAGCCCTGCAATTGTAAATGAGCATCTTGTACATCAGGGGTGCCCATTCCTGGAGATCTACCATTCAGCTCGAACCCTGATCAAACACACCTGAATCGGCTAATTAAGATCTTCAGGAGTACTTGATAATTACAGACAGCTGTGTTGGAGCAGAACTGGAACTGTAGGTAGATCTCCAGGAACAGGATTGCGCACCCCTGTTGTACATAAAGAAAAACAAAATACTGAGAGTTGGTCTGCTGGGAAGATAATATCATTAAATATTTAAGATCCATCCTTCATAGAAGAAAAAACAACTGAAAGTCTGAAAATCAAATAAAAGTCTGTACATGATATTTGTGAAAATACTGAAAGCTTGCACTTTGTGGAACTGCATACTGAATGCTACTCACTTACATTTAGGTAGTGACAGGTCTGTTAAAGAGATAGTCCACCCAACATTTTGTCATTTTCTCACCCTCATGTCGTTCTAAACTTGTTATGCATTTTTCTTCTGCGGAATACACTTTCTTCTGTGGAAAAATTTTTGAAGAATGTTGATTTTTGAAGAAAGTCGCTTTAACTTCCACTGCATTTTTTGTTCATACAGTGGAAGTCAGTGGGAACCAAAACAGTTTAGCTACCAAGAATCTTCATTTTATCTTTTGTCTTCCACAGAAGTCAGACATATAGGAATTTTCATTTTTGGGTGCACTATCCCATGAAAAATAAGAAAAATAACTATAATGATAACTATATTAGCATCTATACCAATAAGCAATGTTTATTCTAAATGTGCAATACAGTTATGTGAACATAATTGCAGTTCACCCTTTAAAGCAGAAATGATTTTGATTGGCTGATGTTTTAATAAGAAAATAAATAAATAAGATACAATTCTTTCTGAAAGGGATTCCAACTGGTTCCATTTATAGTTGTGGTGTGGCACTTTCAGTATTTACCAGAGCTGAGACAGTGAAGTCCCTGGCGTGCATCTTCTCTGTGAGCCAGTCTACTTTCCGGCGTGTGTTAATGAAGATCACCGCCTGAGTGATGGTCAGAGTCTCATATAGATCACAGAGAGTGTCCAGCTTCCATTCCTGACAAAAACACATACACACCAAAGCAGGGTGAGAAACACAATTACCTATTAACAGCCACTAGTCAAAATTAATGCATATGAACACAAAACATGTCCTTGTAAAGGCCCTGATAAATTCTGATGTGTTCATGTATGTAATTCATTCATGTCTGCTATTGTCGCTTTGTATTAAAGTACCCCAAGATCAGACAGTTGTCAGCACTATACCTCTTTTTCAACGTTGATGTAGAACTGACGAATACCCTCAAGGGTAAGCTCCTCTTTCTTCACCAGGATGCGCACTGGTTCTCGCATAAACTTGGTAGTGACATCCAGCACCTCCACAGGCATGGTGGCTGACAGCAGCACCACCTGGAGGACAGATGGCACAACAACATGCAGAGGCCTATTCACATTTCTAAACAAACACAAATGCACATATGACCTCTTAAGCAAAGCTGGGTCTCCTAAAAAGCTATTGTTACTGGTCGTAATGGAATAGTGGTGGAAAACAGAGTTGACTGAACAGAGCAGTAACAAAATTCCAGATTTCAATGCCATGTGTTTGTTCTCAAATTGTTGCTGCAACTATTATATATAATTATGCTTTGGCAAAACCATATTCTCATATACACTAATGCAATTAAGCGTGGAAGTAGTCAGCTTGATAACAGCACATACAGGAAACACGGTCCATTTCATATCCTAACCTGTATGCTAGTAGTGAGTTTCTGGAAAATCTCGTAGATCTGGTCCTTGAAACCACGACTCAGCATCTCATCCGCTTCATCCAGCACAAACATTTTAATGTACTTAGAAGCTGAAAGAGAGGTGAACATGAAAAGATAGTGTAAATGACATAACACAATAAAAAATGCTGAAAAAAAAATGGGCTGGATTCACAAAAATCTTCTTGTCAAAGGAGGCGGCTTTGTTGAAAACGACGCGTTTGAGAGGCGGGGCATAGAGGACCTACAATAATGTACAGTATTTGAAAAATAATGTGTTTTTTGAACATTAAAGCATGTCAACATATTCTGTTACACCAAATACACAAAATAATGATCTTTAAAATAGCATCATATGACCCCTTTAAGGTAAATTAAAGTGCAATTCTTCAAAAAATCTTACAAAGTTCTCAAATATTTTCTTAAGAACATCTGTTTTTTTTAAGGAAGAAAATGACAGTTGTAATTATGAAATGATGTAATTATCAAATTAAAATGAGGCCCCTAGTTGAGTCATTTTACAAAATAATGATCTTTAAAAAAGCATCATATGACCCCTTTAATACATTTCGCTTAGTAGTTACTGAATTTCGAATTCAGCAAAAAGTCAATGTTCACATTACAACAGAACACTAGCTACATAGAATAAAAATACT